ACACCCATCAGAATTACAGCAGATTTCTCGGCACAAACCATCAAATCACGAAGAGCGTGGGGGGAAATAATTCAAGCTTTGAAAGATAATAATCTCCAGCCAAGATTGAGATATCCTGCACAACTGTCCCTGGAAATTGATGGAAAAACAAGGTGCTTCCAGGATAAAGAGGAACTGGGAGAATTTGCAACCACCAATTCAACTCTACAGAGAGTATTGCAGGATATTCTAAAAAAAAGAAAAATACAAAGAATCCAGAAATAATGGCAGAGAGGCCACAACGAATGGAGCAGAGAACAAAATGAAGAAGACAAACTGACAGCTACTGACAGAAAAAGAGCTCAACAGAAATGAGGCAGAGAAGATTGGATGATAGGAACAGCTATTTTGGAGAAAATGACATCTTAATAGGTAATACTGATTTAGTATCATCTTGTTTTGAAGTCTCATCTAGCTTTCGTCCTTCTGTCTCTAATGGTCTAAATAGGTTGTATCTTACTGGATTTTATTATGTACGATAGTATAAGCAAAAACCTTGTAAAGACAAGGAGATTATACAGAAACCATTATTCATTTTCTGTTAGTCGATTTTAAATACTCTGTAATGCTGTCATTCTCTTGAATGGTTCTACATTGTTTTGATATACTTAATGCTACAGTATATGAAGTTGTACTCAAGGATTTCAAAGAAAGAGACAATATGGTAACTACTTTTAGGTTAGGATTATCTGATGGTGAAACACTATTCTGCTTAAATGGTTATGTTTTGATCTGCACTGTTTCGTTGTTATGCCCTCTTTTATCTCAATCTCTACTCCATTATTTACTTTTTTATCTTTATCCTTTTAATTAAAGGAAAAAAATAGCAGGATATATTATAGTAACCCACTTTGACTTTTCATTACCTTGATTTAAAGCCCTGTATTACTCTCACCATCTGGTTTTTAACTGATGTTCTCCTATTCTGTTTTGCTGGATAGTATCAGGTTCGAAAATTTAGGCATCAGCTGTGAAGATAATGAGATTCATTATGACGCCCATTCTTGTTGACTTTTATCTACTTTTGAAGACCTACAATGTCTCCAATGTTTTGGTTTTGTCGGTTTTATTCTTTACTGTTTTGTTCAATTGTATTATAACTAACGATATAGGCAATTCTATTAGAGATAGCGGGAGGCATTATAGTAACCATTGTTGATCACCTTGTATTATGTTTTTACATTATCTATTATGTCCACCCTTTTGACTTGACCAATTCTGTTCTGTTATGTCACATTTGGTTTTACTCTCTTCCAAAAAAGTAATAAGAACAGTGGGAGCAATGAAACCCAAAATGTGTAATAGTCATGGTACAAAAGAGAGGAAAAGAAAGTGCTCCAAACTATATAACTGCATGTATATTTAAGTGTATAAGATAGAAAATGATATCACAGAGTTTTATTGGATCAATGAACAGAACTGTTTGCAGTATCATTGATGGAATGTCCACTTTACAAGCTTTAATTTTGTGACTTGAACAATTATTTCTAAGATGACAATATGTAATCCATTAACTAGTGATTTCCTACTGTTCATTTTTTTCTGTAAATCTGTATAACTTGTACCCTTTCCCTGCTTTTTTTTTCTTTTCTCCTTAAATAAAATTAAAAAAAAAAAAAAGAGAAAAAAAAAAAGTGTAGGGATCTCCCAAAAGTGTGCCCCAATACACCCTGAATTTTAAACTCCCAATTTCAACCCTGAGCCTCTAACAATTTTCCACTTTCACTGTGAGTATTCCCACCTGTGCAGCTCCAGGCAAGGGTTTCCACTCCTGGGACATGGGGACTCTCTGTATTTGCCTGTCTTTCCAATTTTCATGGTGATGGTTTTCTATATGACCTCAACTCATGCACAGCTCTAAGAAGAGCTGTCTATTTTCAGTTTGTCCCACCTTTTTGTTCTTGAGAAGATGTTTGGGAGGGGTAAACAGGCTGGGGGAGATACAGAAGAAGTAAAGGTGAGGGATGGTGAAGAAAGCACAGTGCCTACAGAGAAACACAGAGGCTCAAGAATGGGGACCCATCTTTCCTTCAGTCACACCCTGTCTCCTCCTGGCCAAGGAGTCTTCCCACTGGCCAGCCAGGTCCTGCTTCCACCTGCAGCCTGGTGGTGATCAACTCTGGCGGTTCCCTGGGCTTCACTGGGGAGTGGCTGTAACTTCCGGTATCCAGTGTACCCTAACTGAAATCACCATAGGGCAGTGATGGCGAACCAGTGATACAAACAGCCCACTGCTGCTGCTCGAGTGCTGTGCAGGGGTGGGAGCGGGGGTGGGAAGGTTGTTCTGCTACTACTACCCTACAGGAACTAAGGTGTAGCCACGAACTTCCAGTTAGCTAGTTAGTTTTCCTTTAGAGACAAGTGGCTTTCTGGGGCCTAAGGCATAACCCCCCCTCCCCCCGCCCACCACACTCCTCAGTTCAGATGAGTGAACAGATGCTGGTACCAGGAAGCCTGGAGCCCAGTTTCCTTTCAACCAGAAAGGGGTTAGTGAGGTGAAGATGGCCTCAAGTGACACAGCAAGCCTGGAGACCTACATTATCTCTGCTCTCTCCCTCACCCCTCTGCTCCTTGCTAGGGAAGCCTTTCTGCACCTGCACCCCATGAGATGGTGATGTGAAGCTGTGGGCCCCACCTCAGAGGTAGCCTTGAACAAATCCTTTCTTCTTTTTACTCAGATACATAGCCTCTTTCACTGCTCTGGTCAGTGACAAACAGATGAACCTGAGCCTGTGAGGCTAGGTGGCCGGTGACACTGGGACCCTCTGAGACCTGCCCCATCAGAGGCTGTGCTTTAACATGGTACCCAGGAGTTTCCATGCCCACTAGTGATTGGAAGCACTGACGGTGCCCTGGGAAGTACAGAAGTGAGACTGGCAGCTCGGGGACAAAAGCACCAGCATAGAGGTGTCCGAGTGGAATGTACTTCCAAGAGAAAGAACTAGGTATGACAGGGAAGGAGCCTGGGCCCAGCACAGTGGTACTGGAGCCATGAGACCCAGGGGCCAGGCCAGAGCAGAAATGCGGTACTGAGTTGGGTGTGGTGGCGTAACTTGTAATCCCAGAATTTTGAGAGACTGAGGCTGGAAATGTTGCTCAGTATGAAGAGCCTGGGTTCAATGCCAGTACTACAAATGAGAGAGACAGAAACAGAGACAGAGACAGAGACAGAGACAGAGACACAGAGAGACTAGGGGGTGAGAGAGTTTGAGAGAGAGGTTGAGAAAGAGAGAATACTGTCTAGGGATGGTGATGTGCACCTATGGGATAGCTGCTTAGGAGGCAGGCTCACTTGAGCCCAGCTACCTTGACAACACAGTGAGGCCTCATATTTAAAACCAAACCAAAATGAAACTAAACAGCAAGGCGCTCTTGAGCAACCACTGAGAGATAGGGCTTGAAGGAGGCCAAAGGAACTTGGGCTGAAAAGCAGCTAAAACAAGAGACCTGGTGGAATCAACATGAGCCAGGGAGTGAGGAAGCCCACAGTCAGGCCAGATGGGACAGGAGGAGCATGCAATGAGGGCCAGCAGCTGGGAGAGGAAGTGGAATGGGCAGTCCTGATACCCGCTCCCTGACCGTATGGACGCTGTCCTCATCCTGCCTAAGTCCTCACTTCTAAAGTTTGGCCGTCTTCCTTCCCCACAAGATCTCTACAGACAGTTGCTGTGGATGAATGCTTGTGTCACCACCTCCACAAACTCTGCATTTTGAAACCCTAACCCCAAGTGGGCCTTTGGGCAGAGGGGTGGAACCCTTATGAAAAGGACTAAGACACCACAGGAAGAGCCAGTGAGCTTGTGGGCACTGTCTGCAGCCTGCCATATGTGTGAAGAGCTGGTGAGAGTTACCTGTGCAGCAGGAAGAGTGTCCTCATGTCATCCATCCCGCCCATAGCTTGATTTTGGACTTGGAATTCCAAGACAGTGAGCAATGAACATTCAAGCCAATCAGTGGTCATTTGTTAAAGCACTCTGAGTTTGAATACACATTTGTGAAATAAATATGCATAGGCATTTTTCTGGCACTTTACTACTAAGATGAGAGCTCACAGCACAGGGAGGGTAGGGCTGGCAGCTAAATGCTTAGACTTTGGAGCCCCAGACAGCCCCATCTCAGCTCTGCTGCTTACTAACTGGTAACCTTGCAAATCAGTTGACTTTCTTGGGGTCCTTCCTCACCTACAAAATAAGGATGGAAACCACCTTACAAATGCAGAGTGTGTGAGCCAGAGTATATGTCCCACTGAGATATATAGCTTAGGTACTCACATACACCCACAGATATTACTTAATATAATATGTGTATGATATGACAGAAGGACCTGGGTCTGGTTCTCTTTTTGATTGAGAACTGTTCACCAACACAGTACCCGTGGGCTCCTTCTCAGTGGCAATGTTTTTTTAAGTGTGGTGTTAGGGATGGTGATTAGGACCCAGACTCCACTCTCTAGGTAGTCCTGAACTAGGCTACAGTGTGAAAAACACTGCCCTAGAAAAACATGGTGTACAGCCAGGTATAGGGTTTGGCCTTGAGTAACCGAGACCTGAGATAAGCAGGTAAAGTATGTATCAAATTTCTTGATCCATCAAAGATGATGTGGTAGATCTTGGAAGGTTCAGATGTCATTTTTACTCTATCCCTGTCATAAAACCTCCACATTTATTTTTTAAACCATTGCTGAAATTCCAGCTATTACAAACATCCTGGGCATGAGGGGAAGTTGGAGGCAAGGGAGGGTGGGGTAGGCGAGCCACCTTCCACACTCTCAGGTGCCCAGGGACTGCTGCTCACCATTCAGCTGCTACCTCTCTTTGCAAGGGGGCCTGGGAATTCACAAAGGCTGATATCAGGGCTCACAGTAGAATCAGGGGAGCCAGGGAGAATGGGTACTGGAAGGAACTAGCCCTCTAAGGTTTCCTGGAAGGGGATCAGCCATCAATTTAAAACCGTCAAGAACATTATTCTGGAATAGCTCTTTATTAACCACACATTAAAAAACCACAAAGTCCACATTCTGGATTTAGGCAAAGGTCTTTGCTGACTTTTATAATCAGAGTGCACATTGATCAAAATACATAAACACAGTTTATCTCACATAGGTAGAAGCCAACCAGCGTCCTACACAGTTTCCAGAGAGGGCAATTTGTAATGTATATGAAAGCAATAAATAAAAACTGCCTCTCTGCAGGAGTGTAATTCCTCTCTTGGCACTGTATCCTAAGGAAGTGATTCAGAGGAGACACTATGTACAAAGGTGGAATGACTGTTACCTATGACAGCAATAAGTAGGTACATAAAGTTCAGTTGTTTATCATCCAAATGTCCTACAATATAGTAAAGGCTGGATGAATTTAGTATGGCCATTACAGAGCTGGAGAGATCATGTGGCAACACAGCAGAGTGATTGTAACAAGACAAAAGGTATACGTGTATGCACACAAAATTAAGAGTGCTCTGAGACTTTAATGGTTTGGTCAGGACAATAATTATGTCTATAAATTATTTCTCTTTAATTTATTTTATTCGTCTATAGGAAGCAACAACAATGGTAACAACAAAAAAATTAGTTTCCCCAGGCTTCTGAACATGATTTTTCCTCAAATGCTTTCTGATCTTCCAGATGATTCAACCCAAGGTGCTCCCATGAGAAGGCAGGCCAAGCCTGGGGCCAGGCGAGTGCCCCACCACTTGGGCTGACCTTCAAGGCAGGTTCCTGTTATGTGCTTTCTCCTCTGCAAAAAATTCAGTACTGGGCATCAACACAATCATGTCTTTACGGCAGTGGGAGCAAATCTACAACCATCTTCTCATTCTCCATTGCCAAAGCTTCCTCATGATCAGTGTCATGAGACTAGAAGCCAATTGTTGCAACTGAGATATACATTTGTGGGCACCCAAAAAGAAAAGTACAGAACTGCCTGCTATAGGTCCTTATGTAACATGATGTTGTGTACCCAGCCACCACCATCACTACTGCGAAGTAAGTTCAAATGCTTCCTGAAACTACTGTGGCCTTGTAAGCTTGCTGTTTGCCAAGAGCTAGAATTAATCTTGGGCGGAGTAGAACATTAATTTTTATTATGTTGAAGATTCCTAAAATGGCCTTTCCTGTTGAGATGGATTTGACTTGTGGGCTGGCATGCACATTCCTTGCATGCTGTATACCAGGCAGGCAGGTAACTGAGAAGGCGTTAGAGAGGGTCTGTGGCCATCAGCAAAGCCTGGGGACTCTGGTGGAGATGGGATCCAGTGGGTTGCGGCCTTAAAATTGAGGCAGGAGAATCCTTCTGAGAGAGAGAGAGAGAGAGAGAGAGGGAGATAGACAGACAGACCCAGAGAGAGAGAAAGAGAGAGAGAGAGAGAGAGAGGGGTCTTTTAATTTTCTAGCAATCTAGAGGAGAGAGCTTAACTTACCCTACTGAGACTAACTTCCACCAAGTAATCAAGCAAACAAGAATATTTGCTCAGATAATTGACTTTAGCGAAAAGTGGATACAGGTAAACACTGGAAGATTTTGGGAGACTTCTTCAAATTAAACAATTTATGCTGCTGTGCCTATATTCTTTGTGCAATGCACACTAATTTTCTTTTAAAGTAAGGCAAAATTAACTCTGCTCTTCACTACTGGTAAGTGTCACATGCCAAAAGAATCCACATAGGGATCCAGCACAACCAGAGAAAGCTCATTCATTCCAGGGGATTGGTTTTAGGAGCACATTTTATTTTATTTATTTATTTATTTTTGTCTTTTTCGTTTTATCAGTACGGGGGATCGAACTCGCGACTGCCTGTTTGCAAGGCAGGCGCTCATGCCACTGAGCTAAATCCCCAGCCCCGAGCACATTTTATACCAGAAAATTAACATGTACTAGCAGCATAATACAAAAATGAATCATCTACCTATTTAAAACATATAATGGGAAATATATTTCTAAAATGGAAAACAACAACAACAAAGATTTAGAGATCAGTTAATAAAATTATTTGAAAAAATCAAAACTCTCATTTTATCATCAACGCAAACAATAATAGTTGTAAGAACATCAGAATACATTCACCTTACATTCCCAAAACAGATTTTCATTTTTGTTCATGAAATATGCCTCTCTCTCTTACTCATACACCATCACATATATCTTCACATTCTAGAAGGCAAAAGAAATCTTCAATTTTAAATATATATATATATATATATATATATATATATATATATATATAATTTAAAATAAGCAAATCATAAAAAGAGCAACACTGGCCTTTAAACATATGTTACAGTAGGTTGTTCACATAATACAGATATATTTTGGTAGTTTTCCCATTACTAATATCTAATATCCCATTTAATTTACAAACTTCAAGGTCCTAGTCTCATCACTCAGTAATTAGAAGCCTAGATCCAATAAATACAGTAAAAAGAATAATTCTACAGCATAGACTGCGAACAGTTCCGGACAGGGAGGGAATCACACCCAAGGCTTTAGGGAAGAAAGGTTTGAAGGCATCGGGAAAACTGCAAGATCCATGAGCACAGCCCGGTCTGACACGCTTCCTGGACGGAAGAGACTGAGCCAGGGGGCTGTGCCAAGGGGGAGAAGGAACTGCCACCTCTGCATGGCTTCCTGCTCTACTTGAGGGAGCATGATAGTGACCAGTGAGGCCTAAACTGGGCACCCCATCATTTCTCAGCAGGAGGCAAGACTCTGGCCCAGAAGGCCCTGCCCATCTGTCAGCATTTACGTCTATTCTAAAGCCAAAGCCTTATAAAAATAAGGCTTCACCAGGACCTGTGTATTACATCCCAGGTAGTGGGCAAAGCATTTCTGCCCCACTCCAGACTAAGCCTCGGGACCAGCTTGCTAATTCCACTGCATTCAGAAGAAACCCCAGGTGTGGGACACTGGGCTTTTCAGATCCCAACCTGGTGACAGCAGCTGCCTCTGTTCTGTGGCACTTCCCTTAGAAAGGTAACCAAGCATTACAAGGCAGCCGGTTCCGAGTTTGCCTTATACTTACCACAGTCCAATATTTCAAAATTATGCTCACTTCCAAACCACTTCACATGCTGTTGCAACCGATTTGCACACATACACAAGACCACACTTGTGACGAAGCCAGAGAAGACATCCCAAGAGTTACGACAAAGACCAGAGCCGAGCTCACAGAGACCAGAGAGCTGAGCCCGGCTCACACACTCTGAGGGGGCCCTCGCTTCTGGAAAGGGGAGCTTTCGACTCCGTAGGACGCAGCCCCTGAAGAAGGAAGCAACTGACGCAAACGAGAAACAAAGAGAAAGAGAAATGGGTGCCAGAGGTGAGGGCTGCCGCTTGGCAGGTAGTGTCATGAGCTTTTCAGCAAGCAAAGTGCATCTTCCATGTAGAATAAGTTGGGTTTTTTTTTTTTTTTTTTAAGAAACGTAGATACTTTAGTCTTCTAAATAGCCTTATTTTGGCCTGGACTAATGAATACATCCCTAAGTAGTTCCTGAGGTTGACTTCAAAACATGAGACATTATTTACATGCATTCTTTCCCAAAAGACTTGTGAAAATTTTATAGTCTACTTTCAGGACCCTGTTCCAGCATAATATAGCCATTGTGTGCATGCATGTGTATGTAAATAAAACTCATAATATACATTAGTATATATACACCCTCTATGGTGTGATATATATTAGCATATATATATATATATACACAGTATACTATATATTAGTATAGTACATATTACTGTATATATAGTCATTTATATATAATAACATGTATATATGCTAACATATATTAGTATGTACTATAGATACTAATATATAGTATACATATACTGTGTCATATATATATGTATGTATATATGGTGTGGGTTTCACAATACAGCATTAATATTTTTGTTGTGTGTGTCCTTAGGAAAATCTTTTTTCTTTTTGAATCAAAGTTGTGAAGAAGACCACAGTGAACTTAGAGCTTTTGTCATTTCAAATTTGCATTCCACTTAGGCAAAGGTCACAAAAGAAAAAGTTTAAATAAACATAATGATTAACTCAGAAAGCATCACAGACCAAACCAGCTTTCCCGGAGGATTTAGTGCCTCAGTAGCTCTGGCAGCAGTCCTAGTGCAGGGGCAGGGTTCCATCTGTACCTCCCATGCTGACCCCCGGATGACAGACGCAGGTCCCAGGCTCTGGTGGGTGACACTTTGAACTCTTTCCTCCATTCTTAGTTTTCATCAGTACACGAGTTCTAAAGCAGCAGCTGATGTACAAAATCCTTTCATGGTCTCCATGCGCGACAGGTGGAAAAGCTGAAAAAAGTCCTTTGTTCCTCCCCAGCATGTACTGTAAATATCACATCAGCACAGTCCTTGAGGCCCTGGATTCAACACATGAGGCACCAAGAGGTGAATTGAGCTTTGGCAAGCAGGCAACTGGATGAGTCTCTGAGCTTCGTTGAGGTAGTGGCGTCCCTCTTCCTAGGGTTTTAGAGGTTAAGAAACATCTATGGAGCCAAAGTGAGAGACAGGCAGAGAGCTGGTCACTGTCCCCACACATTGTTCTGAATGGATGGTTCACAGGTTCACCACATACTCCGTAAGTGTCATCAGCAGAATCCTCCTTATGTGGAGAACACGAAGATACCAAGATCACCATGTGATGAGGGTAACACATGGCTTCCTGAGGGCATTGTGCAACTCATTACAACTTAGATTGAATTCCTGAATGTTTTCTAAAAAAGTGTCTGGTGCACAGTAGGTGCTTAATAAATATTTGATAACTCACTGAATATTTAAAAGCTCTGATTTAACTCAGTAAGAATACAAGCAAAAAAGAAATATTAAAAGACCCAACCAACTACAAGCTCATCACATGAAAGTCTGAATGGCTTTCTTCAGTGCACACAATTTTAGACTACTTTCAATCTTTGAGAATATTAAATTAAATTGGTATTGGATGTGGGATAGTAAACACTTCTATGTTAACTCTCATATACCAGATATCCTCATATTTCCGTCATCATTTTACTATGAAGACGTGACTGAGAGATTTTTATCCATAAATAACCTTTCTGAAGACAAAGCAATCCATTCTCTCTGTTGTTCTTCAAGCTTTTCTGCCAAGCATTTAATCAAGATAGGATCCACCCTAGAATCAAATTTATTAGCGAACCAATGCCCATCTTTTATAAGCCATCTTAACTCTGCAGCACCATAAATACACACACTTCGAAGATGAGTACCAGTACATCTGGGGTAGAAAAAGCCCTCGAAATAATTCCATTTAACCAGGCGGGTCTTACTCTGGAGGTCAGACACATCCTGGGCTGACCTGGAAATCCCCCCAGGTACTCCTGGTAACCTGACTAGAGTTGCCCAGAAGTGCTCATCAGGGGAGTATGTGTCTTTAGACCAGGCAAGAAAGTCTTCAATGAGGGAGTTGTTGAAAATATATTTAATAAATGTTCGGCTCAACACGAAGTAGGCACTGCCCACAAATATCTCAATGTTATGGGGTGGTGCATCCTTGAAGATGTTTGTCCTTATTGGTAGCTTCATGTATTCATAAGGCACTCGTCTGAGTTCATGGTGATAAGTAAATCTTTCCATTTTACCGTTAGGGGGTTTCACTGACTCTAACATGTTTGCTCCATTGAGTTTCTTCAACTCTGACACTAATTCAAAGTTTGACTTCAGGGGAAAATCTTGCCCACAGAGGTTGATGACGTATTTCCACGGAACCGAAGACCTCAGAAGGTCTGATAAGCAATTTAAATCAGCTTGGAGTCTGGAAATGTGGGCATATTCCACTGCCTCTAACTTGGAAGCAATGAAAATGTTAGGGAAGCAGTTAGCTAGGTTGTTCATGGCCACTTTGAAGGGCTCGGGTGACTTGAGGTCGTAATGGATGCAGTAGATATTGTGCTGGTTGTAGATAGCACGGATGAGCCTTTCAACCATAATCGCATCTTTATGGACAACCAAAGAATAAGCTATGGGGAAGCTCTTTTCCTCCCTGGAAATGAGCTTGTGATGGTACCTTCTTAAACTCTGATAAATGTCACAGTCACTGGTCATTGCCACAACATCGTCATCCTCCAAGTCAATGATAGCTCGTTTCCGGATCTCCAGACTCTTGCCGATTTCCAGAGGCTCCTGCTCATAGATCCCGGAGCAGTTCACCTCATACTCGCCTTGCTCCTTCACGTGGGGGTACCTGTTCCTCACAAAAGGTGAGGTGCTTAGGGAGTACTCCACCAGGTAAATGCCTCTCTGAGGAAACAGCAACCTGCCCACATTTAGAAGCTTTAATAAGGAGAGCAGCCATAGGGTTAAAAACAGGATGAAAACTTTCTGCTGGCGGACGTACTTAAAACAGCATTTGACTATCTTCATTCTGTGAGGAGAAGAAAAAGATAGTAAATATTAATTAATTAATCGAAGAATATTAATGAAGAGAAAATCAGAGGGCCAGGGGTTTAGCTCAGTGGCAAAAGTGCTTGCCTGGCAATTGCAAGGTCGTGAGTTCAATAGTAGAGAGAAAGAGAGAGAAAATCAATGCACCCAAAATGTACTGAGTATCTCCCATATGCCCAGCAGGTGCGGGTCAAACATGAACAAGGTCCTTGCCTTTGAAAGAACTCAGTCGTAAGAAGTGAGCAGGTAGAGCAGGAGCGTTTTGCCTCCTCTGTATTAACTGTATCTCATCTCGGCCTTGGAGGGGCAATGTGTTGCCATGTCCAGTGGGTCAGCTTTCCACAGCTTTGTACTAGCAATGGGAATCCTGACCTTGGACTCCAGTGGACAGAACCTGGGAAGGTCTGGGAAGAGCAGAAACTGAGCCCTAGGAGGGGACCAAGAACCCTAGCTGCCTGGATCCCTCCAGCTGGGAACCCCGTCCCGACCTGACAGTGCAGGTAGCGCCCACAGGATGGAGGTGAAGATTTATGAGAGGCTCTGTCAGCGTGGGTGTGAGGAAGAGAACAGTGCTTACTCTTGAGTTTCAGGCCTTTGAGGTGAGTGATGGTCTCGCCAGTACAGACAGAAATGCAGGCAAGGAGAGAAGAATGCGCGCCCACTTCCAGCCTCCTCGGGGCTGAGCGCCCATAGAACGTCCAAAAGCAGATGACCACAGCCAACCTGATGGTCACCTCTGAAGTGTGGCCAGAGGTGAGAGCTGGAGAGGTGTTGCTCATGTAAGTGCGGAAGCCAAAGTCCAGAGAGCAAGGAAGGCCAGGGAGCCTGACCAGAGCAGTGAGCTGGAAAAGGGCCTGCGGCAACCACAGAGGCCTCGCTGCGGCTGTCAGAGCAGAATCTGGCAGCTCGGTTCAAGGTCGAAAGGCGAGGTTCCAGAAGACGGGTGTACGTATGGAACTAGGGGTGTGGTGAGAGGAAGCCCAGGCGATTCCAAACAGAGCTGTGTACGTTGTCCTACTTCTGCTAAGTAGGCATAAATAGAAAGCAGCTTGCATAAAGGGCTGCAATTGGAGTTTTCCTTCCGACCCGAAGTAAACTTTTGTTTCTTTTATTGGTTTGGGGCTCCCTAGTTGGCATTAGTTAATCTCCCACCTCCACTCCTGCTAAAATAAAAAGACCTCACACTCCTAAAGAGATTTACAACCTCCCAAAGTGTCAGGTCCTTTAACTGACACCTGGGCTGGCTCCCTGCCCTGGGTCTCTGGCCTCTGCACCCTCCTGCATCTGCCCTATGCGCTGGGAAGGCCTGGGCCCCCACTTCCCACGCCAGCCTGGGTCCTGGAGGTCTGAGCTGGGCAGGAGAGGGAAGGAAGAGGGAGAAAGAAGGGTCGCCCAGTGCAGCCCTCAACCACTTCTTCCTGACTGGGAGACCTGTACCTCTCTCGCGTTCAGCCTTTGCTAAGCTCTGAAGGGAGCTGCGCTGCAGTGCTACCCTGTGCCAAGACAAAATAACACCCTTCGCTTGCTTACCATGGCCAGAAAATCCTTTCACTAAAAAAAGTACTTTTTAAAAATTTTTTTTATTTTTTATTGGTACCGGAGATCGAACTCGCAACCACAAGCTTGCAAGGCAGGCGCTTATGCCGCTGAGCTAAATCCTCAACCTGAAAAAGTACTTCCTTCCCTCAGATCCAGCCAGGGGCTAGGAACCTTTCCCCAGCTGTGGCCAGAAGTCAGCAACTTTGTACTGATCAGTCACCTGACTAGAAGTGAGAAGTCCAACACTCCCAACCATGCTTTGGCTGAGACTTTCCTGGGAAAAGGACCCCATGTAGCACCCCGGGCCCAGTGGGCAGGCACTTCAGGGGGTACCCACTGCAAAGTCACAGCTCAGGAAAGACAGGGAGGTGGGCAAGGCCTCCATGGCCCCACCCCTGCCAGCCCCAGCAAGGCCTGCAAGATACCAGAGCTGGCAGGCCCTCCAGCTGGCTGGGTTCTCAGGAGACTTGGCTGCCCTGGCCCTCCCAGGGCTTTGCTCTCACAGTCACAGTATCCACAACTCCCTGAGAGAAGGAGTGTACCTCCTTCCTGCACCAGGCAGACAAGGAAGTGGGCCTGAGGGTTTTATTGCTAACCAGAAACAAATTCCTATAGATAAGACCACTGCTGGAGGAAAATGACAGCAAGCTTTGGTGGTGAAGGCTCAGGTGAAATAGAGTCTATGATAATTCAATAAAAATCACTGCTCACTGCAGTCCCAACAGTGATGTTGTGTAAAGCATTTCCCCAGTCACCCTTGTCCCCAGCTCTCCCAAGCATTGGGCCTCCAAGGGAGCAGGAGCAAAAAGCCCCAGCAGCTAACTGCAGGATTTCCATTCAGGAAAGTCTACAGCCATCAGCTGCTTTCTGATGAGCACTTTGAACACCCAGGACTATCACTGAAATAGGATTCGTCCTTTCACAGAGAAAAGCGGGAAATGGTAAATGGAAAACAGGCAGAATGAAGCTTGGCTTGGTTGCACACACCTGTAACCCTAGCACCCAGGAAGCTAATGCAGGAGGACTGCAAGTTCAGGCCCAGATTAGCTTATCATTTGGAGAAGCCCTGTCTCAATACTACAAAAATAAAACAGGGCGAGGCTGTAGCTCAGGACAAGTTTCAGGTTCAATACTTGGAAATGGGAAAAAAAAAGGCAGAAGGAGGTTGAGAAGAAAAGTACTGAGTGTGTTTTAGTGAAGGGCCTGAGAATTGCACACCTGCGATCCTTTCCATACCTCACAGGGCATGGGCTGCTGGGGAAACAGAAGAAAGTAGCTGGGCTCCGGGATGCCACGGATCTGGGCATGCCACCCTCCCACCCCCACCCAAGGAGTACTCTGTAGCTAGAACTTTGATTAAACTAGGCAACTGCTCGAAGGATGAGTTTTCTGTTTTCAAATTAGGAATGGAAGGCAGGTGCCCCGGCTGCAGGACTGTGGCTTGGCATCTCTATGCAGCCTGGTTTTCAGGACCTTGCTCTCCAGACTCCACTCTTGGGGCTCTCCAGGACTCTACGCATGGTTTGCTGAGCTTATTTTTCAAAGATGACAACAGTTGAGGCTATCTGGCACAGACAGGCTTAAGGAACAATGACTGCCCTCAGCTGTTTAGATCTGACTAGCAGGTGACAGGAAAGAAGGACAAAGCTGCTGAGCACTAAGGGCTCATGCAGGTACTGAGCAAGAAAAGAGGTTGCACTCGGTCCTGCCACAACCTGTCCTGGCCGCAGTGCGGGGCATTCAGCCCAAAGGAAGCCTTGCACTCAGCTCCAGGATGGCCTATCCAGCACCTGGACCTCGGAAAGGGCTCTCAACCCCTCCACATTTCTGCCTGGTCTGGGTAAAACAGTTCTGATGCTCGGTTGCGACAGCGCACACAAAGCACTCTAGCATGATCCAGAGCTTGCCCACCTGGAGAGCACCAGCTTCTTCATCCACTGCCACCAATTTCTCAAACCACCCTACTACTCCTACTCAGCAACAAATACCACCCATGTCTAGGGCTCTCTGCCTTCTGCTTGTGTGTGTGTGTATTTGGTACTGGAGACTGAAGCCAGGGCTCATGCACACTGGGCAAGAGCTCTATCATTTAAGTTAACTCACTGGCTTATTTTTCAATAGCCTGTTTTTCAATCCATATGCTGTCTGGAAAGGGAACTGAGGGTACCTAAGTGTACCAGCATCAGTTGTTTAACTTCTTGCCCACATCATGACCTCCGGAAGCATCAAGGAGACACAGCAACAGGACTGACTGAGCAGCTTTGACTGCTGAGCAGATGTAACAGCAGTTCTTCATCCTCTGCTAAAGACTGGCCTGTGCCCACAGGCTCTAAGGTTCCCACTTGGCTTTCTTTCTGTGGCGACTGTTGGCCCCATGGTTTCCACCTCGCTGTTCTTTTCCTCATCCCGTTTCTTCTGGGTGTCACTAATCTTATCTTCACAGGCTCCATCCTGGAGGATGCTCAGAGTCAGGAGAAGTTATAGTTGCCTGACCCTATTTTGCAGTATGTGCTGCTGCGTTAGATTTTATCTGGAGTTTCTACTCCTTATAATTGTGCAAATGCTTCCTTTTTTGTTTCTGGAGCTGGGGGTTGACTCTATGGCCTTACACACTCTAGGCAAGCACTGTAATCCAGAGCTACATCTTCAGTCCCTGCTCCTTTTGTTTTACTGGTGAGTTCTGAAGTCCTTGTTTTGTTATTGGAAATCCTTATTACATATTGTATAGAAGTTTTCATATTACTCTTAACATGGGTTATAATTTTGATGTATATTTTATATCTCCAGAGAGCCCTGAGAAAACTTAAGTAATTTTTATTGATATAATCAATAATAAACATCTTTCCCATAAAATTAAAAAAAAAAATGAAACACGTGGGGTGTGCTTCAGGTGACATTTGAACTCGGAGTCTTGTTACACAGACACACTCTTTGCCCTCCATGCAGCCCTGCCACTTGGAATCTAAAGAAAAAGTTCTCCACAGAACTTTAGCCCTTGTCTACTTTTCCTCATTCTGTGTCTTACTGAACTGGGCTAAGCAGACAGAGAAGTGAACCTCCCACTATGTGGGCGGCGCTGAGAACTCCCACCCAGTTAGCAGAGAATTTACAGAGGGCAGCCTTGGTGGGAAGCTGGGCATGAGTCACAGCTGTGCTGGCAGCAGTGATCCAGGGAGGAAGTCAGCCCAGCTTCCAGCCCCTGGGAACACCGGGAAAGGCAAGCAAGCTCCTCCTGAAAGACTCTCCCCTCAGTGATGTTTATCTCACAAGCGGTCAACAGCCAGTTACTGAGTCATTTCTTTTCGGAGTTATCTGAGACACAACTTAGGCTGCCTGAGAATGATCAATTATTTTAAAGTTGTTTTCTCTTTTGGTGAAATTTCTCCCCAGAGTCTATTCCTTCTAAGAGCAATCTTAAGAGTTCTCAAATTCTGTTTTTATCATATGACAGTGTGAAAAATAAATATGACATGAAGAACTTACTCATTCAGAAATTTGAAGAACTTATTCATTCAGAATCTTCTGTCCAAAGTATTACAAAGAAGAATCAGCACTTGGGAAAAGTAATGTGAAAGCGCACACACACACACACACACACACACACACTCACACACACACACACACACACACACACACACACACACACTCACACACACAGCCCACCACCTTCACCCAAAAGCCTCATCAGGCCGAAGGTGCCAGGATCTTCTATCGTAGCTCCTTGTTTTCAGTGAGGTCACCACTCTCCCCGTGATGACTTCTCATCCAGTCTGGAGGGAAACCATTAGGTAGGAGGATGACTCAGCCCAGAGACATTTCCTGGACTCCCCCACAGCACACCAAGAGTCGTGCAAAGGGTAGAAAGACAAGTTTCTTGACCTTACATCCTCATTGTTCCAGAGGGGACGGAGTAAAGGCAAACAGTTCTTTCAGTGTGAGTATCAGACAGCAACTATACACAACACAAGCCGGCCATGACTGGATTAAAAATACAGGCAAATAACAGGAGGGTACGGTCTATGCAAGGAAAGAAAAAGGTTTTCTGTTCTTCATTTATAAAAGTAAATACTTTCATTTTATAAAAATTGGGGTGTTAGAAAAGTCTGTGGAAAAAATAAAGCTCACCAGTGACCCATTCCCTGGCAATGACATTGTATGGGCAGCTTGTTCTTCCAGACTGCTTTTAATAAACACACCTGTTCCCCCTTTTGGTTTGCTTCCTGGCAGAGTCTCACTGGATAGGCACCATCCTACCTATTTTTTTCCTTTCACAATACACTGTGAATGAACCCTACCCTAAGCTGGTTTGTAAATTCTTAGAGTACACAATTTCTAAACAGACATAAACATACCTTTCAACAGGAAAAAAACAAAAATCCTTCAGTAATTTATTTTTCTCTGCTCAGTTGAATAAATAAAACCACAATTCCTGAAAAAGCCTACAAGTAAAATCCTAACAATGAAAAGAACTTTAAAGGTAATAGTCTAAATTCCTCCTTCTGTAGGGCTACCTACCCACCATTTAACCCTGTTCTTCCATGGGATGTTTGGAACATATTTTGCCTATTAATTATAAGGAAGAGAAGCGTCTCACAGTGTTGGAGGCTGGAAAATCCAAGATCAAAACACACATCTGTGTTTGTGCAGGCTCACACTCTGCTTCCAAGATGGCGCCTGGTTGCTATACCCCCACTTGGTGGAGGGCACGAGGATGAAAGAGTGGAAAGAGGAAGCAGCTCCCCCACATCTCTTATAAGGCTAATAATTCCATTTATCACAGATTCACATTCACGGCTAGTCACCTCCTACAGGCCCCACTCCTGAGTGTCACTGCACTGCTAATTAAGTGACCCTGCTGAATCCTGGGGAAGACACGTTCAGACCACAGCACGAAGTGCTCATCGAACATCTTCCCACCAAGGGACTGGACAGAGGAAGGACCGCCAACCTCCTCACCCAGGTCCCTCGTGGTGATTCAGTCCAGGCTGGCGCCTCTCTCTCCTCCACTGACACCGCACTGGCTGAAGTTTTCACATTGCCACAGCCCGTGGCACATGCCTGTCTCTCCTATGATATGAATTTATTTAATCTGCTCAATAAATCTGGATGGTAAATACCATCATTATCCATGTTTATCAGGCTGGGAGACTGAGTCACAGAAAACATATAATTTACCTTAAACAGGTGGCAGTAGAGGAGTCAGGACTTGTAGCTGTGGTCCTATTTCAGAGCCTTCACCATTACCCACAATGGGAAGCCACAGTAGAACTCTTCTGGTTTCATACCCAAAATGAATTTCAGATCATTTTCCCTCCCTAGTCCACTCCCTACACAGAAAATCCTTCACTAGGACTTTGCTTCACTTACAATAAAATCAGAAATCCTCCACGGCCAGAAAGACCGGGCCTGTCTTCCTCTATAGGTTCCCTGTACTCCACTCTTCTTGCTCATAAAGCTCTAAGTAACAGCAGAGTCTAAAGTCCCTCAGGACAGCAATCCACCTGGAACCTTGTGGGCTCTGCACTCACCGGGCTTGAGTCTATCACACTTTTCTCTGAACTCTGGCCTGCTTAGATCCTCGGTTGTTTAAAGATATTATTTTCCTCGGGTGATCTCTGACCACCTTTCTCAAATCTTTTCTGTCTATTGCATGCTTGTTTTCTTCTGAGCTCTTGACATAAGAGCTCATCTCTCTGTCCTCACGATCTGTCTCCCAAACCAGAACATGAGGCCCTCGAAGCTCTGTTCAAAGACATCCGTCCGTACCTGGCATGGCACAGCTGTTCTATGGGACAGAGGCAGAAGACTTAAGCCAATCCAGCCACTAAGCTTGGAAATCTTTATTTCCTGTGCTACACGTAAAAGTGGTTTTTCTATCCCACAGTGTGAGGTGAAGTCAGTCCCCAGTCTTTCTGACATCAGAAACTGGTTTCATGGAAGGTAATTTTTCCACAGACAGAGAAAGCAGGACTCTTAAAAATTATTTATTTATTTTAGCATGGGTTTGTGATACACAATAATTACATTTTTCAGCACCAGCATTCTGGTGTGGGCCTCACCTCAGATCATCAGGCATTAGGCTCTCACACAGAGTGCATGCGGGCATACGCTGCTTCAGCAGGGTTAGCGCTCCTTTGAGAATCCAATGCCAGCTGACCGGACAGGAGGCACAGCTCTGGCAGCCAAGCTTGTGAGGGCAGAGGATCAGCTGCAAACACAGAAGCAGCTTCCCCTGCTCACCTGACACCTACCTCCTGCTGTGGAACCCAGTTCCTAACCAATACTGGACTCCCCTGTACCCGGGGCAGAGTTACAGGAAAACAGAAGAAATGCAAATGTCAGATACAGGACCTCCAGAGGAGAAGGGCTTTCCTGCGAAACTGCAAGAGTCCGTAGGTTTTTAGCTTTACTTTTCTAAAAACTTATGGCTCGTTCATTATTCCCTTCATTCGGACACCATTCCGAAACATTCTGTTTTTCACTTATGTGACAGTATTCTTTTTTGTTTCAAGTAGTTTTCACTGAAATTTCAAAACCGTTTCTGGAGTTTCAGAATTATGTACATATATACCTGTGTCAGACTTTGAGCCAGAAGAAGACAGATATTTTAATCTTTAGAGCTGGGTTTTTTTTTGTTTGTTTGTTTTGTTTTTTTTTCCAAAATGCTCAATGGTTTGGGAGAGCTCAACAGCCAAGGAATTTCCTTAAATAAATTTCCTTAAATAATACCCAAGGACACACCTAATCCACTCCATGGGGAACTGCAGAAGCTATAAACCTCCTTCCCAAACTCAAAATGTTTTAAGGGGTAATTCCTCTCTTGGCATTGCAAAGTTTTGGTGACTCACTTTTGATACCTGTTTGGCAGTGAACCCTCAGGACCACATCCCCTACAAAGCAGTACTGAGGACCTGGCAGCAATGTGAATACCAAAAGTCAGTCAGGGCAGGGCAGGCAGACTGGTAGTCAGGGATTTAAAGACTCTCTGTGATCATACTTCCTCTCTCTCAAAGGGGCTACAACGTTTCTTTCCGTGCCAGCTTCCCCTCATTTGTCCTGCTCACTCAGCTCAGGTCACAGTAGCAAACTGAAACAGATTCTAAATTTTGGGCTCTGTGTTTAAAATGTGAGTACAGCATATTTATGGTTCATTTTTACTAAGTATAAAAACTGAACGCAAAAACATTTACACCTATGTTTAAATGTATTTTTATTGTATTAGAAAGAAAGATTTCCCTACCTAAAGTATAAAGATGGATTTTTCTTTCTTTCTAGAAATCACTCACAGAATTTAACTTGATATTATACAGTTAATTCTATATTTTATCCTGGACAAACTAATTCCTCAATGGTTCTTTGGTCAGCTGAAGAGGTATGAGTAACTGATTTCTATATGAGCATGTATATATTTGTTTACAAAATTACATTTGCAGTACGTAATGATTACCATACATTCACTGTGGAGAATTATACACATGCATAACACATCTTAATTTTTCTTAAATCTCCTACCTCTTTCCTCCTTCCCACCTCCCTCCATCCCTTCCCATTTACAAAAGATCTATTTCCTTGTTTCCTATTATCTATCTTTTATTTTGCTCTTTAAATTATTTATACTTTGAGTGTCTCATACAAAAAAGCCATGTGATATTTAACCTTTTGTGTCTGATTTATTCCACTTAGCATTAAGGGCTTAAGATGCAAGTATGTGCATTTAAAGTAGATCTTTAAGGTCCTTAGATACCTGCATCACAGAGGCAGCATAAGCATAAACAGATGTGAATCAAGGGTACCAACATGAGAAATGGCCAGAGGCCAGGCTGCATTGTTCGTGAATGGATCAGACATACTCAGTCTCACATCAGCAGAAGATCATATTCATTTATTTTCTGGGTTCTGCCAATTCAGTGCAAATACGGCCCAAGAGTTCAATATGCTTCTTTACTCTCGTGAAGAAACAATACTGGCAACTCCGGCATGACTTCATTATTTAGCCACGATCTGTGTTTCTGGGTTTTAAAAATTACATATTGCTCTCAGTTCTTAGATAACATTAAAACCTAGGAATTCAAAATTAAATCAAAGGAGTAGAAGGAATAAGAATCAGTGGTACATGGGTAAATTTTGCCATCCTATGAATTTCAAAAGCAGTGATTTCATCTCAGCAGAAGTCCCTGTAGAAATGCCTGACGGCAGCCAACACCTCCAAGAAGGATGCCTTCTAACACGCAGCTCTCAACAGGTAGGTAATGTAGCAGAGGCTACAAAAAGATGGCTTTGCCTCTCAGTGTCTACGCAAGCTTACAGACCTGCTGCACAAGACATAGAAGTGAAAGCCAGGCCCCACTGTTTCCATGGATGATGATATTAAAACAGTAGGATCAGATTACAACAAAGAGATCGGATGCGGAAGACAGCTTCAGTGATTCAGACCCAGACCCCCAGGTCTGCCTCTGGCTGATGCCCAGGCACCTTCCAACACACACCTTCCTTTGCTTCTTTACTAAGGGCACTGTACTCTGCTGCTGGCAGAAATGCACCTCTAGAAAAAGATTTCTTCCCAACTTCCACTGTAGAGGAAAGGCCAGAGAATGGTGTGTGGGATACTGGGGGAAAGATTAAAGGGATCTTGATTTTCAGGTGGGAAGTTAGCCACTTTTTCCCTTCCTCTTCCTCCCACTGGAACTCTATAAAATCAAGAGGGTACAGACCCATCTCGGCCCCCACTCAGTAGCGCAAGCTACTGAGCCAGCAGCAGTGGGCACCCACTCTGAGCTCCTGCAACCTGTGCTTTGAAAGATGGCCACAGAAGAAGGGTCATGCTTAACATATACACACACAACACCCCAAAGGCCAAACTTAAATTTAAAGCAGATTAAAGTATCTACTTGTACAGCCCTGTTTATAGCCAAGTGCAAAGCAAGTCTAAAATGTGCTGAACTTTTCATCTGTATTGGGAGGGAGTGGGAAGCTCTGGATAAACATCTGAAGGAGCCTGCAGGATTCACCAAATTAACTCCCTGCCGCAAGCATCACAAACCTCTCCGCTCCACTGGCGGTGGGAAGAGGCCACGTGGTCCCTGAAGATCACACGCAGGCGGGCTGTCTTCTTGAGAGCTTTTTATATAGTAGGGATTTTAGAGCCCGTTTTTCAAGAAAAAGATGTCAGTCCCCACTTTAGATACGTGAAAAGACACCAGGCATCTACTCCAAACAGGGCAAGTTATTCTAAGCCATGGACATCCCTCCCCCGTCCCTTCCTGACCTCTGCTCCACATACTCAACCCCTCCATCTGGCCCTCCTGCTTTACCCTAGCCTTGTCCTACAGGTCTGGAAAGTAAAGGAATGGCTCTGCACTTATGGCCCAAGCCAACTGAGAGATGTCACGAACCTCTCCCTTCATCAGTAAGACAGGGGGAGGAGGGCACTCACTGACTCGCAGGCTGCTGGTGTTACAGGAAACTGAGTTAGACATATTCTAGGCATTCAGATAGGGCTGGACCTCCAAGGGACCTGTGCAGAAGACCAGATATGTGCCAGGCCTCAAGACAAAAGATCAAGCAAATGCAGCTATACCCTAAGGTTAAACATCAGAGATTGATGCTCTACCTAGTTATCAATCATCTTGATACCTTGATCACTTTGAGAAAGCCAGGAGAAACCACCAATCCAACCCCCTAAAGGCAAAGGCCTTGTCCTGACTTGCTATGTGACTCACTTCCCTATTGGATTCCAATTTAATCAATGTTACCTGGGCAATTATACTCATAATCTTATTGGTTGACCATAGTTGTCCCACCTTACCTCGTGGTTTTGCTCTATAAAAATCCTTAGAGAAGGTGGGGTCTTTGGCAACCCACTCGGGACCCCTTCTGTCTCTCTCTCTGACAGAAGCTTTCTTTCTCTCAATAAATATATTCTGCTCTTAACCCCCATTGTTCCTAGAATTCATTCTTTAATTTTAGAGAACATGAACTTGTACCGATGTCACCGGGATGACTGGACATGCTACTGCCTGCCTATGTTCTGGCAGGAAACTAACCTCCACACAGGATGGCTAGGGTCAAAGGCAACTCAAAAACCAGTGGGGTAACACTGCCGGACACTGTTCTGCAGACTGGGACCTGGCCTCATGCTTGTAGGGCCTCCCGAACTCTTGCAAGCAGAAACAGCCTGAGGGGCAGGTGCTGTGGGGTGCTGCGGGACAGGCTGGTGTCCAACCCACACCAAAGGTATCCACACTTCTCATAGTAGGATGGACATGTGCCCACGTTGCTATTCTGATTTGCCTACAGGTCTGAAATGTTCAAAATAAAATGTTCTTTATTTTTTGAGAGACCCATAGGGATTATGCAGAGTGGACAGGACTAAAACTCTCTGCAAGTCCCTGCCCTGTGTTAAACCCAGATGACACATTTTTGGAGATCCAGTTTTAAGTCTGGCATCATTGCTGTCTTCTTCCTACAATCTACATTTTCATTTCACTGTTATAAAAGTAACTTTTACCATTCCATGTTTATGACTTGATGATGATGAAAACATTTTATTATGCCAATAATAACTTATTATGCTAGTTTCACACACAATGTGAAACTGTTATTACCATATGGGATTTTTACAGGCACGCACACAGTGTACACGGGTCACCATAACCACTGCTAAGTGCGCGGTTCTGCAGTAGCTTCCTGTTGTATAACCAGCAGCACCGCCCGCCCACACATTGCCATCCTCTCCAGCTGAGCATCTGTACCCAATATACACTGGCTCTGCCTTCTCTCCTATCTCCAGCACCATTCTACTTTTCAACTCTGTGGATTTCGTAAGTCTTAAGAATCTATCAGCAGGAGGCATACAACACTCGTGCAGTGCTTGACTGGTGTATGTCACTTCACTTAATGTCTTCAAGGTGTACCCATGTTGTAGCACGTCCCAAGATTTGCTTCCTTTTTAAGACTGAGTAATATGGTATTGTGTGTATCCCACCATGTTCTGCTCAACCGGGCATCTGTCCACCGTCACCTGGGCTACAGTGAATAACACTGCCGTGAACCCACGGGTCCCAGTATCTGTGCAAGTTCTTGTCTTGCTTCTTCTGAGTACGCACTTTATCTTCTCCTGTATCTTATTTCCATTGCCCTTCAATTGGATGCCCACCCACCCAATAAGCATGTACTATGTGCTGACCAAGGGCCAGGCAGGCACTCTGCTAGCTTTCGGGAAGAAACAGCTACACACCGTGTTGTCTCAAGGAACACAGAGAAATAAACAGGGAGTTCCTAGGTGTCTTGGTATTCCCCCCCCCCAAAAAAAATCCCCAGTTGTGTTGTTATATTTGTGATGAAGACCATACGAAGTGGCTTTGAACAGGATTTAAAATTAACCAGTTGGCTTTGTATGTTTACTTGTCAGTCTGTCCAAGGCCCAGACTTCTTGTCTAGAGAAGGGCAGCAGACTCATAGTAAGTGAGATTCTATGGGTTACTGTCCGGGTTGAGGCCTGTAGTGGCCTATGATGCTGTGATGCCTCAGAGGACAGGATAAAGTCACAGATGAGGATGCCTGACTCCCACCCCAATTAACTAATAAAGACTGTAGCTGCAGGCATCTCACTCCTGTAGTGAAATGTAACATGGAGTTTCTCCTAAAATACCTCCTGAGGAAGTTCTTTGTCTCAGTCCCCAGAGAATCTCGATTTTGCTGGAGTGTTTTGATCCTCCTGGAGCCCTAACATTGTATCTAACTTGTCTCTTTTATTTAAGCCTTCACCATCCACTCCTTTGGGAGGCTGCAGCCCTGATCAGTCTGTAATATATTTGAATTTGTTTATATAGAGGCCGTTTTCCAGAAAAGACGAGTCACGAGCTAACATTTGGCAGCTGAGAATTCTACCACTGAACCACCCACGCACCACTAGCTAGCATTTGGAAATGCCTCTGTTCCTCCTCCTCCCACTCTGCTGCCCAGTTCATCTCTTCCTCCAGCCCCACCAACTCCTTACCATCCCAGTAAGTTTTTTTTTATGTTCTAGTCTTTCCAGCTTAATTTGTGTCTGCTTGCTATCATCCACACCTGTCTCCTGACCCCTCTGAATGTGACAAGGCAGGGCAGGTACCTGGCACAGGCAGAGGGAAGCTGGTGGAAGCTCCTGACCTACTGAACCTGCCCCTGCTTCTCCACCAAAGTGGAATGTGGGGTGTGGCTGCAGCACACACTACCTTATGGGGCCAGAGTGCAGAGGGGCAGAAGGAGGAGGAGGTGTCCTGGGCACGGGGGAGCCAGGCTAGCGGCTCCTTCCTGGCACTGGCAGAACCCTGTGCTGCGGTCTGCAGAGCTGTTCGGTCCTGGGTCCGGGGCTATGTAGTGGCACCCAGGAGAAATGCAGGCTGGGAGACCTTCAGAAACAGATACGATAGATCAAGGACAGATAGGCTGAGTGCACAGGCCCAAGCACATTCAAAAAGCTACTACCCAAAGGGACAACCTCCTTGAGTTTCCCTTTACTAGATTTAAAAAAAAAAGGAAACCAGAGGGTTGGGGAGAATAAGAAACGGTGAAATAGGCAGAGAAGGAGAGCATTTGTGTGAAGGCATTAAGAGTATGGGCTTCAGGAACAGCACTATGGCTTGCTAGTTTGACTTAAAAAACAGAGGGCATGATCAATCCGACCTCCTATCAAGTCTTAAAAGTAGGAGATGAAATTTGCACATGACACCAATGATCACTGCAGACAGAAAGCTGAGGCCCTCGTGGTGCCAACCATCAGCTCCCAGGCCATTTCCTTACCCAGTCCCCTTAGTCCCATGGCTTCTTCCATTTTCTGAGTTCACCACCATCTGTTCAGCCCAGGGGCTGTCTCTGGATCTTCTTTCCCTTCCAGAGCTTTCTGGTCATGAGACCCCTATCAAAGTCACCATAGGCTTTCCTGTTACCTTCCTTACCTAAGTTCAATTCTCAGGCCTAATCCCTAAGCAGATAAAGGTGAAGTGTGCCTCCCTTCCCCAGAGATTGCAGATTCTGGAGAACTTCATTGCCACCAGACACTTCTTTTCACAGTGAGGGAGACCTTGGTAAGGGACAGACTTAGGGTGCAGCTTAGTGGTACAGCCATGTGTTCAGCATGCACAAGGCCCTGGGTTCAATTCCCATCACCAGAAGAAAAATAGTAAGGAGCAGGAAAATAAGCTTGGATTCAGGGATCCTTTAGTCTGGTTTATGGAGGGAACTTCCCTGCACAAGGCTGGGCTGGGAGTGGAGAAGGACCTTACTACAGTAGGGCAGGAGCCATGCTCTAGGAAGCTTGCTAAAAGCATTCTTGTTATAAAGTTGTTTTGCTTTTTGCCATTGACACCTTTATTGTACAATTTGATAATTATACTCCTTTAAGAGTCATGTATGAACTGAGATTTCACAATTTAAAAAATTAGATGGCGTGGGTTTCCTGGCTACATCTACACTTTTTCAAAAAAAATTTTTTTTTTGACAATGTTTCACTGCGTAGCTCAGGCTGGCCTTGAACCCACTATGCAGTCCAGACTAGCTTCAAACTTGCAGGAATCCTCCTGCCTCAGCCTCCCTGGGATTACACTCATGTGCCCAGCTATATCTAGACTTCAAAGTTGAGTTTTAGAGCATAAACCAGAGAAAAATTCCAAGACACAAATCTTTGCTTCCTAAATTTTCAAATGCACCTTCATCTGATCACAAGCAAGCAGAAACCCATCTTTATGTGGCCTATTTATGTGGCCAATGGTCTACACAGCAGAAGGGGCAGGAAGCCACCTTCTCAGTCACTAATCACACTCCAGCAATGGTGGTGCTGTGATGGACACCTGGACTGCGTCACAGAGCCAGGCCTGTGAAGATGAGATACCTAAGGGAGACTTTAGGGTAACAGTAGCTCCAGTGCTAAGGACACTGAGCCTGGTGACTCCTGTTACTCTACTCTGACCTCAGAAGACTACACAAGAGGCCATGGTAACTACCGATGAGGCAAACCTCTAACAAAGTCACAGCTGCACGGGCAGAGGACACAAAGGTGAGGGAGGCCTGGTTTGCAGCTGAGTTGACAGGAACAGGACCTTAACAGATGGAGCCACACTAGGATCCAGTGAGATGACATTCAACAAAGAAAAATGCAAAAACACATACTTAGGCCCAGAACTGAACTCACTTATGTATTGTGCGACAGAGGAATGTGGCTTCACAGCAGCATCTGCAGAGCATGAGTCAGTGTTATGGCTGACTGGGCATTTAGGCTGGTCTCAAACTCAAAGCAATCCTCCTGCCTCAGCCTCCTGAGTGCTGGGATTATAGGCATGCACCAGCCCACTCAGCTGTTTTGTTTATTTTGCTAAGTCACTCTACTGTCCAAGCTAGGTTTGAACTTGTGATTCTCCTGCCTCAGCTTTCCAGAGTGCTGGAATTACACTACACCCAGACAGAATCTGCATTTCTAAAACCCAGCTGAAACTGGTACAGCTGGCCCAGTGACCACATCTTGAGCATGACTGCTCTAAATAACAAATTTATAGTTTTTTAATACTCTATATTCCTAAGATTTTTATGACATGATAGTAAATTTCCTAATAAATCTGAATTAAAGGGAATTTATTGGTTTCAAAGGCTCACACATTTGCATTTAAGATTATGTTCATTCTAAAATCTCATACTGCTTAGCTGTAATTCAACCTTTACTTTCTGACACGTAGCATTTCTTGTCAGTTCAGTTTCATGAAGCAGAAGCAGTTCTGCTACTGCATCATTTTCTGGCACTTTCCATTGCCCTGTAGTCTTTTTTCCCTCTTTTCTAGTATTCTTCTATTTGTTCAGCACATCAAGCTTCAGGACATCTGTGGTAGATTAACTAACAGTCAACCCATAACGCCCAGCTGAGCTGAATCAGCAGGTTCTGGTGTGGAAGGCCCACCTGAGGATTGCTGTCAGCACCACAAAAGAACTGGAGGGGAATATGGTGCTGTTGATTCTCCTGGAGAAGCTTGTCACACTGGTTTTCCTGATAGGAACTCAGCTGTTCTCATTATTAGAGGAGCTCAGGTCCTCACTAGTGCTGAGGATGACTGGGGTTCACTTTGGGGGAGCTCTGAGTCTCACCTTGAGCATTACTTCTTGGCTACAGTGAGGATCCCTCAGCCTACTGGCACAGATTCTTCATCCCACCAGAGTGAACTTTCTAGCTTCCATCATTGGCCTTCGAGCCTTCCCAGAGCAGATCCCGGTGGGGGTACTGCCACTCTAAGTGGCTCTAAGTGTTCACCTGGACACTGAGGTGGGATCCAGGCCCTCAGCTGCATTTTCTGGGTCTCTAGTGCATGGGAACATTGCTTCCACTCTTCTGCATTTGACTTTCTGGTTGAGTATTATAAAATAATCCTATAAATTGTGTCCTGTACTAACTTCATTCCCTTGCAGATCTTGACTACAACAACATATTAAGATGTGACCTGCCTTCATCAAATGATATCTGGCTCCCAGCCCTTTTTCAAAATAGTAAATAAGGATCCTTTACCTCAAAGCCCACAATAAGCCCAACATCCCCACAGCCACATTCATTCCATCTGATTTTATTTTCTCTTGTATACTAGAATCTCAGCCTTTATAGCCTACTAGGAAAACTACCACCTATGGGAATGCACATAATATGACATGCAAAGCAATGCAAACGAACACCAACATACATCTTGAGAAATTGCTTGGGTAAACGCTGAAAGTTTTGCCACTGATGTTATCCGCTTTGCTTCACTACATGTTAGTGAGCCGACACTGGACCCTTTATTACAGCTGATCTTGTGTGGCATTCAGCGCCTCACACTTGTCAACACATGAGGTGGAAGAGGCCTGTGCCTGTGAGTCAGGTGAGAAGATCCTGGACTCTACTTGGGACTGCAGCTCACTGGCCTTGGACAAGTCTCAGAATTCTCCCAGGACCCAATGCTGGGACTGGAACTGACAGGTATGACACAGAGAAACCACATCACTATAAGAACACCAGCAGGGGCAGGCTTTAGAGCACTTGGTGTGTTGGGTGCAAGGCCCACATGATGCACACACTGCATATGCAGGATGCAACTGAGGTGTGATAAAAAATATGGTGATTATTTAAAATTTTCAAATTACAGTAAAATATATATTGCTACTAATATCCCTCAAAAATATTCCCTCTTTTGAAATCACTTACCTCACTGATCCTACCATTTGCTAAAGCAGTTCTTGAAATCCTTTCATTAATGTCTTCACTTGCATTGTGGTGGCTGCCTTACTGTCCTGAATCAATTCAAAACTTTTAAACTTTCATGGTCTTTCTGAGTTTGGGGAAGATCCGGAAGTCACATGGTGTCAGATCTGGTGAACCATGTAATGATCTTACAAGCTTGTCTTTCCCTTGGATCACACCTCACATAGACACTCACAGAACAGGACTTGCAGAACTGCTTCCGAAAGCAGCCAGGATGATGGGATAAGAGTGTTTGAAGTGGGGGGCTGATTTTGAGGCAGATTATTGACAATGTGTCTTGCTGTAATGCTTTAAAAATTCTTTTGAACATTTATCATATGTTTCAGCCACCTCATGTGTGTAATCCTTACAACGGCCCGAGGAGGTAGAGAGCACATATCCCTCAGGTACTGTGCCATCTCAGAGACCTAGAAAGTAAGACGGAAAGGCCAGGAACTTGTGTCAGGCCATACGCTGAGTGACAGGGTCAAGAACCAGGAGCTGGGCTGTCTCAGCCCAGCAGCCTTTCTCTGCACAGTGACTGCTGCGTGATTACCATCTGCGTTTCCCCTAAACATTACATTTGCTGTGGTCTACCAAGTTAAAACTCAAATTGCACAGTCATACATACTCCGAAATACTGTTCCTGTGAGAAGCTGTCACTCTGCTGTATGGGTTTGATATCAGCACACCATCACAAATTGTCTTTTACCTGATACTCGAAGGGAGAGGGCTCCAGACACCTGCTTTTCCTAACTTCTCCCACCTTTGTCCTTCCATTCACAGTTCTCCCTCACCCATAAAAGGCCACTTCTGGGTCTAGGGGCAGCTACCAGTTCACAGCCAGGAGCTCTTCTTCTTCCTCCCACTCACCTGTCAGCCTCAGACTTCAAACATCACCTCTAACTGGCTGCAGCCAGCTAGCAGCCTGTTCCATCTGGCCGCCTGGGAAGGGTTTCTACTGGAGCCCTGAAAGCTGCTCAGACCCAACAAAAACCAAGCTTGTCTCTCCTACGGAAACCTCCTCCCTCAGAGCTCTCATTTCTGTAAATAGCAGCACAAACATAGAGGGCATTACCCTGCAGGCTCACGCAGGGACAAACAGTCCCCGTGTACTTCGCAGCCAGTCTCCTGTCCACCTCGGCGTCCTCCTGGACCCTCTGCTCTGTTACTTCAGAGTTTCTCAAACCCACTCCTCAGGCAGTGGCCCGAGTTGGGTTATGAATTCACATCTCATTCCGATATGATACTTTTGGGGTTGAAACTGTCCCAAGGATCCATCCACACAACGTTACCCTGACCCCCACACAGCATGGGTCTGTCCCTTGTCCCTCAGCCATCCTGACCCTTTCCTACTCCCTCATCCTCCCTCAGCTACCCTGGCCGTCTCCTACCATGAGCACTCTCCCTGGCTCTGAGCTCCAGGCACACTAAACCCCGTGGTTGGAGCCCCTCTCCTAAAGCAAACTCAGGTCCCTCTTTGGTCTCCCCCAGAAGCACAGCCCATTTGCCTCCAGCAGCGCTGCCTGGCCTCGCAGTAAATGCACACAACACAGGGTTGAGGAGCTCAGTGTAATGTTACTGGCTGTGCTCCTTTCTTTAGGCTTAAGAGAAGAACTCTGAAGCTGACACTGGTTCCCTCCTAACCTGTAAGCTACTGCTGCCGTAAGCCCCAGCAGGCCAGGCACGGTGACAGACAGCACTCTCACAGGAAGGTCTTCTGGGGTCACTTCGTGAAGCAGTGGCTGCCCGCCCATCCTGAAGGCACTGGGTGCTTCCTGAGGGACAGCTCTGCCTGACTCACCAGGTTCCTTCTGATCTTCATCCCCCTCGGGGCAGATGTGGCATTTATCAAATTACTAGAAAGCCTTGTCTCCCCAAACCAAAGGCACCCCCTCATCTCAGGAAACTGGTACTGGGACGGTCAGTGTCATCCATCTCATCCCATTCTTCCGCTGTTTCTCTCCCGACACAAGTAAAAGATAACTCACCCGCTCACTTGGTCACTTCTGGTACAAAACTGGATCCTCAGAAAGTGCAATATAAAAACAGCTCTCTGCAATAATTCACTTTTAAAAGATTTTACTTCCTCAAGACACTCAACAGAAGCAGCCAAAGTGGGCTGTGAGTTTCTAAACGCCTAGGCTGAGAGATGGTTTAATGACAAGGGCATGTTTTACGCGTATAAAATCAAAAAGAGCGGTCTAACCGAACCGATGTGACCCCTAGAGCCTCTGGTTAGTTCTCTTCGGATCCAAGAATGAGGAGTGCGAGCGCCCCAAGGCTAACATCACGGACCCAGGCGAACGGTGCACACCTTTTCCACGCTGCTCCTTCCCGGAAAGCGAGCTCGTCCATTTACAAAGCAACCCGCACCCACTCGCCCGTTTGCCGCGCGCGGGACCCGCCGAGGCGGCGAGGTCTGGCCGGCTCTGCCGCAGCGGACTCGACCTTGGAGCGCGGAGCCCGTCCCTGCGGGGCGCAGCCCGGAGACCCCTCGGCCCCGGGGTCCACGCAGCCGGAGCCGCCCCGTGGAGCGCGCACCTCCTCGGAACTTCTCGCGCCGGCCCGAAGTTGCGGCGCCGCCGGCCGGGCCTCCGGTCCCAGCCGCGGGTCCCTGCGGGCGCCGAGCCGGGCCCAGCCGAGAGGGACGCGGCGGCCTCGCGCCCGCCCGCAGGGAAGCGGAGGTCGCGAGCGCGGGGCGGAGCTGGGCCGTGCTGCGGCTCCGCCGGCCCCGCGGCCCACCTCGGCCGGGGTGGGAGAGCGGCCGCGGGCGTGACGTGGGAGGAGGAGCTCTCCCGACCGGCGCCCGACCCAGCCCGGCTGCCTCCTGCGCCCCGCGCGCCGGGCTGTGCGCGGCTCGGGCACCGCAGGCTCCCTCCAGCGGGAGCCTCGGACTTCCGGCACAGCCCGGCCAAGTGTCACCCCAGCGGGGGCCGGCGGGGCCTCGGCCCGCACCAGGGGCACAGAGGCGTTTCCAGCCAGCGCCTACCTGCCGCCCGGGCTTCCTCTTTACCCGCGGCGGGGCGTGGTGTCCCGAGGCGCACGCCGGGCCCCCGCAGGCTGACCCGGCCTCTCCGGGCGCCTGGGAAAGTGCTGCCTTTTAAAGTGGGGAGCGTCTCGCTGCGCTTGCCTCCCTGTGCCACCGGGACTCTGCTGGAGCTCCAGGGTCCGCACCAGGCAAGTGAGTCCTGCTGGTTAATTACCTGCTCCTTCCATCCCTGGGTACCGCGGGACAGCTACACGCCCGGCCGGTAGATGGGGAGCCAGCTAGGACCCGGCGAATCCTGAAGAGGCAGCCTCCTCTGTCCTTTACTCCGGGTACCTGGAGTCGGCCCGCGTCGGCCGGACAGTCGGCTAACCCTGCCTTTTAAAAAGAACATCAGGGGCAGATGTTTTCATATCCATTTTACTGACTTAATTTTGAAGCCAACAGCCAGCTTTGCGTTTGTCTTCCTATTTATAAGGGGGACCTCTGGTTTGGGGAAGAGTCGGTAAAGTTATTTATCCAGGTCGCCCTTCGAGGAGGAAGAAAAGAACTAAGATTCCAGGTTCAAGGTTCATAACCATTTCTGCAGATGAACTTCTTCTTGCCCACCACCCTCGTTTGAATGCTGTTGTTACTCTGATTTTACAAATGGGGAAAGAGGGGGAGCAATATGTGGTGGGGCCAGCACTCAGTCCCAGGTGGCCAACGGGATGTGTTGCGGTTAATCACAGAGGGAACCCACGCCTGGGCCTGTAAATCAAAGTGATGACCCTCATCATAGACCCCTGGACCAAAGCCTCCAGTTATCTCAAGCAAGCCTGCCTGCCCAGGAAACCATTGCGCGTCCCTCCCAAGTAGGCCCCTGTCACCTGCTCCCCTCACTCCAGTTATCAAACCAACCTAAAGCAAAGTTGCTTTATCCTAAAGCAAACTGTTTCTGTAGTGGGACCCTACAGCTCTTTTCCTGACTTCTCCGTTTATTGACTTCAGTTACCACCACTGAAATCTTTGCTCCACCCACCCCCCAGGTCTTCTGACAGGGAGTTGCCAAGGCTGGGTGGCCCTGGGGAAGGATCACTCCTGCAGGCCTCTGGCACTCAATGTCACAGTTCCAGGACTGCTGTAATGAACTGGCATGAAGTTGGTGACTTAACACATAGAAATGCATGTGCTGGCAGGGCTGTGGGCCCTCTGGGGGGTCCCGTGGAGAACTCTTGTCTGCCTCTTCCTAGTGGCCCCCATTCTCTGGCGCAGCACTGTCATTCTATTTCTGCCTAACAAGGTCACTGCCCCGTAGCCTTCTTTTCCTGTGTTTCTCCTGTCTTAAAATTTTTGTTTTCTTCAAGGATACCAGTCATTGGATTGGGCCCATCCTCATCCAGTGTGCCCTCCTCTTCACTGATTTATACAGACCCTATTTCCAAAGGAAGTGACATTCACAGGTTCTAGATAAATATGAATTTCTGGGAGAACACTAACTTGGTACATACCTGCAAGCCACTGTTAATGAAAACATATTGCCTGAGCTGAGGCTGCAGAAGTATAAATTACAGCCCCACCTGCAAAGAAACTCTAGTTACAGAGGTATGACTTACACTCAACCAGATAGCTAAGCTAGGAGATGCTAGGAGCCAACAGCCTGGAGCCACATGACAATCCAGGGGCCAAATGGCAGCTGTGCTCCAGACACAGCCAAAGGAGAGTAGTAGGGACATTCACTCTTAGGGTGATACAGGCACATCTTTGAAAGAAAAATTAAATTGAAGGCTTGAGAAATGCAAATTAAAACAAGGGTAAGACTCCATCTTACTCGGGAAACAATGGCAATCAGTCATAGGAAATCACACAATAACAAATGCTGGTATGGCTAAGGTGAAAAAGGAACCCTCCTTCATTGTTGGTGGAAATGTAAACTAGCACAACCCTTATGGAAATCATCATGGAGATTTCTCAAAGAATTGAAAATAGAAATTCCCTATGACCCTACTATCCCTTTGCTAGGTATCTTGTTCAAAGAGCTTAAGACATCACACAACAGTGATACAAGCATACAATTTTTTTTTTTTTTTTTTTTTTTTTTGGTACCGGGGATTGAACTCCTGACCTCATGCTTGCCAGGCAGGCGCTTACACCACTGTGCTAAATCCCCTGCATCATACAAATATTTATAGCACCAGAATTAATAATAACTAAATCCTGGAAGCAGCCTGTATACCCACCCAACAAATGATTAGATAAAGAAAATGTGATATCAATATATAGTGGAATAATACTTGGCTATAAACAATGAATGACACCTTTGAAAAATTTGTAGAAAAATAGATTCACCTGCAAAGTATAATGGAAAGTAACATAAACCAGACACTCAAGCTTAAATACCATATGGTACTCTCATTTGAATGAAGCATGAGACACAAACAAAATGATGTAGGATGGGTAGAAAGGGACGAGGGATGGCTCTCCTGCAGTAGGGAAGTAGTCCAAGGGAACAAGGGCAGAGGTGAGGGGGACAGGAAGAGTAAGAATAAAGATGCACCATGTGCAGGAACCTAATAACCCCAACTAACGCAAACACTGTGTGAGACAACCACAAGTGTACAAAGGGGGATGGGAACCGAAGGAGGAGAGGGGAGGGGAAGGAAGGGAAAGGAGAAAGAAAAAAGAAAGGAACTGTAGTATCTACATGTACCCACTCCCACGATGACTGTAAACTGCGTGAATTGCAAATGTCTACCAATAAAATAAAGTTATAAAAAATAAACATTTTTGAATACATAAAGATTGAAAGCTTATTAGAAGTACATTTAGGGTGGGGAGGCAGAATCTTACTTGTAATGTGTCATGCAGAAATGAAAATACTTAACCATGAAGGCCAAAGAAATGCAGATTCTTACCGCACCAGGCGTAAAAACATGATGAATTACTTTTACTGTATGCTATAATGTCATAGCAATTAGCCGGCTTTAAAGCACTCTCAGAGCTGCAGATGTAGCCTCAGTAGAGTGCTTGCCCAGAATACTTGAGACTCTGGGTTCCATTCCCTCAGCACAAGAAAAAAGGGAAGGGAGGAAAGGTCTCTTTCAAAGTATTTTCACTTGCTCTTTATGACAATCTTGAGCACCATCAGAAAAAATGTTGTATCTTATTTATAAACAAGGATGTGAGTCTCAAAGCAATCACATAACTTGCCCAGGTGAAACAGCAAATCAGCTGCAGAGTTGGTATTAACACTGGTCTAGATTTTCGTTGTTCGAGAATTTCACTACCGAAAGATGTTTCCTCTTGGGCCAGCTTTTCAATATGGGTTGTGTGGGTCCTGATCCAAGGAAGGCATTGACAGAAACAGACATTCTTGCAAGAGATGGAAAGCCTCTCTGAAAGTATGTGAGTCCCAAGATGAAAATACAATGAATCTTCAAGAAGTTTCTGAACTGGTTTCACTAAATTTTGTAAGGATTTCCTCATGTATTGAAGACTCTTCTTTTGGCCTTCAGAGACATCATATGATTCTGCAGAATTCAGCTGATTATCTTAAAGAAAGGAAGATTAAAGGCACATAGAGACATTGGTAAGGAAGTCAAATACATATGAGAAGAAATTATATCACAGGATGGTGAGCCAGAAGCAACCTTGGAGTATTTTGAAGCCTTGCTGATAAAGAATCTGTAACTATAACAAGCAACTGAGACAAGTAGAAAGTCTAACCTTGGGGTGATACCTAATGATCTCATGTGTTTCACTGGATTTTTCTTTACTTAGGAGGCAGGTACCTTGGTACCTTGGGTCCTTTGATGGCTGACTCTTTTAAGATATGTGCATTTTAAAGGCTGAGATGCTTTTGAGTCTAGTGTGAGTCACTGAGTTCTTGCTTATACAAAATGCTACATGGTTGCTATGGGAAAATGTAAAAATATAAAAAGTAGTCA